TATATATATATATATATATATATGTATGTACAATTGAGATTGTACAACTATATGTATATACAATCTGTTTATATCATGGAGAAATAAATCAATGTTTTTTTTCTATGCAAAAACTATGTTTTTATAGAGGATACTAAACGCTTTTTTATATACAATATGGGATAGATAATCTGCGATCTATTTACAAAATTTATGCATAATTCAGTAAAAAAATGCACTGTGAAAACAATTGCGTACTTATAATTTTATCGTTCGTAAAATTTATATGCAATTATTAATTTTTCATTTAATTAAGTTCAATCTGGTTCAAAATGTAAAAATTATAAAGAATATTGCATAAATCATGATATTTTTCTCTGTTAAAAGAACATTTTGAATCTTTAAAGAGCCCAGTAAATAAACTTTGTATTAAAAATAATTTGTAATATCGTGGCTTAATAATTTTAATCCTGACTATGATTATGAAATCGAGATGTATATCAAACAACTTCATAATTATATTTTTAGTAGAAAGATCTAATGAAAGATTTCAATCAAAGGTCGATTTATAACAGAAATATCCCTGATACAAAGCACAAACTCTTACCTTGCAAAGCACTTCGAAATCGCCTAATAAAAAATTCGTTTCCGTAATCACTGTAAGAGAGTCGTGAGAGTCACGTGTTGTTAAGAAAACAGGACTGAAGAAGTGTTCTGCGACGTGATGAGCCGTATAATAAAACTCTCAGTGATATACCGTGAGGATTCTATAAATTATGATATCGCAATGTTGTTATGCATTCATTCATTCACTGTTATCGAGACATGCTCTCGATTATTCTCGTATCTGTTTATCTCTCTTGATCTCTTTGTATCTATTTTACATTATAAATTCAGCAAATAAACGGAAATAGAGCATCAACCCGTTTCTTCTTTTTATGAAGTTCCATGAGTTCAGGTACACGCCCACATACGCGATCATCATAGGCCGTTGATCGAGAATTCTTCACGATCTCGATACTCCACGGCAATCAGCGCATTCGTGATCTGAGTCTGACAGATTCGTGCTGCGCGATATTAGTAGTGAAAGATCACATCGCGCATTTCAAGTTGGACAAGAGGTTGTCGCAAGGTGATACATCACAATTGATCTCATTGCGCGAAGTAATCATACATGATAGCGAAAATAAGAGTTTTCCCCCCTCGACGGGCTGTGGACGCAACATCGACTGTGTAGCGACGATGATTAGGATAATGACGTGGGCGACGATGAAGAAAAAGGGGGTCGCATGAAGATAAAGAGGTAGACAAACGACGCCCGCGGCACACGGTCCTCAGCCCGGAGTGGGTGGGGTCTTATGTCAGTGAATATTGAAGTTGTATTGTTTGCGGCTGGAAGAGATGCGGAGCCACCGACTAACCGCCAATGGCTCCGGATGACAATTTGACCAGGAGATATCGCCGAAATGAGGATATGGCGAGGATGTGGTCGTTGCTTCGACCTGGATCGACGCAGACGTTGGAAAATCTTGCGACGATTGGCACAGTTGCTCATGTTGCGATTTGTGCCTTTTCTGTTGCCGCGATACTGAGCTCGCATGATTCAGTCTCTTGCCGTTGATCTGACTGGCATGCTGTTGTTCCAGCTGTTCCACCGGTTCGAACAAATTCAGACTCGGCATGGAAACTTGCATCTGCTGATAGTTCCTGACTGAGAGGGGTGACTGTGATGAATGGCTATTTGACCGTGACTGTATCTGCATTAGTAGCTGGGATTTAGCGTCTTTGGTAGTGTAAACGGGCGAGTACATGGATATGGTCTCGGCATCGATGTCCACAGGAGTCTCGCCTTCGAGCACAGTGGTGACTACCGTCGGTGGTTGTATGCAAGTGGTTGGCAGTGGTGCCGGTACAACTGGCATTGTGGGCGTCGTGGTAGTACTTGGTATCAAGGTGGCTATTCCTGATGACTCTTCGCTGTTGGTACCCGGTAATGGGGATAGTGACGGTAGCATTACGGATATTGGTGCCATCATCGAACTTGATTGCTGTTGCGATGAGCCGCTGCTACTGTTGCTACTACTGTTGCCAGTGATGGTAGAATTGACCACCAGCGTGGACTCTAGGTTCCGCAGCTCCTCCGAATTGACAAAGTCCTCTTCGAGTTTGGTCTAAAAAAGAAAAACATTGACAATACGTAGAGTAAGAATCATAGGCCCCATAAGAAAAGGTGGCGTTTAAGTGTCTAAAAGAAATCATGCCTTACAGGTTTAGTGGAGCCATGCGGGGCCAGACACCGATAAAGCAAATCAACAGCCTGCAATAACAAAAACAGAAAACAAGTATCAACCGACACCCTCTGCGTTTGTCTTTATGCACGCTAGCTTGTGGTTGTATCCCGACGCTGACTTGACTGGGTCGATCGATCTATGTTTGTCAGCAGAATCGCATAATTCTAATTTCTTTCTTTGTTTCTACTTTAATTACAAAATATTTCTTACATCAAAGAAAATTATAAAAGATTGATAATATTATTCTTTCTATCAAATAACTAAAATTTAAAAAATTGTGCTTATGGTAAATTGAAAATAAGAAATATTGTTGTACATATGTTTATATATTTTTAAAATGGTTTTGGTTTTTTTATATTTATTAAAAATAAATTTTATAATAAAAAGAAACATTTCTAATACGAAAACATACGTATTCAGATAAATTTGTTTTTAATAAATATTAAAAATTATCTATAAAATATAATATTAAATTAAATTTAAGAACATAGTGATATGAAATATTGGATCTGGTTTTCTATTTATTTCTATATGTAAAGTGTGTAAAAATTTGCAAAATTCTCCTGATATTATTTCATTCCAGATATTTGCTCGGACTTCAATTTTTTGAGAACTATTAAAATTCTTAGAATTTACACTCATTTAAGTTTGACTTGATGAAATTTGAAAAACAAGCTTGAAACAAATTTTTATATTCCCAGAAAGTATATTTCTGCATTACCTTCTTCGATCCAGCCTTTCAATATCACTAACACTTATAACAGTATGCAGAAATGAAAGTTCTTTTTAAAGCATAATAAAAAATAAGAATATCATGCATAATATCCCAAACTTATCGAGACATACACAATAATTTCGACAAAAAAGTATGAAAGCCATATGTTTATCTCCCGTATTTTTCTTAGATGCAAAGTTATGAAAATAATAATATGTGTACACAAAAGAACAATACTTGTACAATTTTATTTCAACTACACACAATCAAATTGAAACTTTCATTTCATCATTACGCCAACAATCTTGTTTTCTTGATACAGATTGTTCGCGCAAAAGTCTAACCATAATAGTAACAATAGCGTGGCAAATAAAGAAGATTCACACCGAGGACAGTACAG